CTTGAGAGATAAATTTCTACTGAATAGTTGTGTCCATAAGTTATGACTGGGATAAGCCAGAAGTGTGAGAAATCAATATTTTAAAGTATCTGCAGATAGAAAAGAGTACTGGCATATGTGTGTGTAATTCTTTCTGCTTCTATGGTTGATGCAGGAAACCACCGTAAGAGGCAAGTTTTCACAGTTTTATGAAGCACTTGTACTTCTTTTGTTGTCTTTTCATTAAATATAAGGTAAGAATAGGCTTTTATTTACACTTAGGCCAGTGCTTCCACAGGTATTATACTAATAAAAGAAAAATTTGACAAATTTTGTAATCATCAGGAATGCTTGTTTAAATGCCAATTCCTGGGCCCACCCCCAATCTACTTCATCGAAACCATTCAGAGGGCCTAGTAATCTGTATTTTTAAGTGTTCCAGAAAACTTAATATGCTGAAGCCTAAGAACTACTGGTTTAGGGCTTAAATCAGATGATGTAAGATGTTCTAACTATTCCCATTCATTTCTAAGTATTTCCAGCCTAAATTAGAACAAAATCAACAGGACAATGTAATTTGCTTTACAATAATTGTTAGAAGGTATCTGTGCTGGGAAGCAAGGCAATTCTGATTTGATTCTTCACCTAAAAGCTTAAAAATTTTAAGGCACTCCTAAAGCCAGTATTTTTCTTGAATGGCAGCAAACAGCTTTACCAAAATAAAATATGTAAGGTGCAGGTAACTTACTTTACTGTAAGGGTAGGAAGCTAATTATTTATTAATGGGGTTATGGGAAAAACTATATCACAAAAATTATCCAAATGTGCTCTGACCCAAGTAATCTATTATGATAATCCAAACCACAGATGGCAAGGGTATCAGATTATATCAATTATTCTTAGTTATTGTCCCCTTCTTTGGCACAAAAAGAGCAGGATTTTTCTAATACCAATTTATCTCCAAATTAACAAACACTAGTAATTTTCCTAGCCAGAAACTTAGTGCTATTCTTCCCTTAGCAAGAATATTAAATGCGTAATATTCATTAACTACTATTTGGACAAAAAGTAATTTTTCATTCTGTTTCTCCTTTCAGGCATCCTATAACTGGTACTGTTTATGAGAAAAAAAGCACACAATACCAACCTCTCTTAATTCCCGGATCTGTTCTGATAGTCCTCCAATCTCAGAATAAGAAACATTCCCAGGGTCCTCATGAGACATGTTGTAAACCAGTGGATCCACTTCTCTTGGCAAATATCTGGAATGAAAAGGTATGCATTTTCTTTCAAAAGATACATTTTCTTTCAGCCTACAGAGTATAAACATAAATGACTTGCTTATGTAAGCACTTTATAAAGATATGTTTAAATTAATTAGAAACTAGTAAAAGGGAAAAGTGTAAAAATGTTCAGTGATCTCAAGAATATGTTTTGGATAAAACCCTCCCTCTGTGAGGATAAAAGGTAAACTAGTTAGAATAAGAAACTCACCTCATGATAGTTAGCGTAGTCATGTCCAAAGCAACTCTTGTTCCTGGCTTCAGCTTACTTTTGTCAAGCTAGTTTTATAAAACAAAAGATATCACATAAACTTTAAAAAGGGGAATAACTCTAATAAGAGCTTAATATTTAGAAGTCAAATACTTATTTTTACCCCTCAGAGACAACACAAATATCAGATTATAAACTCCATGCTAATAGGATGGTTATAAAGGTAGTAAAGTTATTTCCATCTGCCACTTAAAAGAATTCCCTTTTGTGCAATCTCAGCGTGAAAGGTGAAATCATAAATACATAAAGTTTGAGCTTTGTTTTTGAAGAAGGAATGGGCTTTGGTATTTTACTTTCAAAGGCTCACTATTTAATATAATTTTGCTCATTATTTTGATTCAAGCTCTGTAGTGCAGTGACTTTGGGAACTGGTACCAAAGCATTTATGGAAAAATGCTCAGTGAACATTGGGAAGAAAGGGAGAACATTTTAAAGGTGTGCTCATTAGATTTATTTTGAAAACTATAGCTTTTGGGAAGAATGTATGTTACATGACTGTAGGAGATTAGGGGGAAATGCATTGCTTACCCTTAGAGACGTTTATTAAAATGCTTAAAAAAAAACAAAAACCAAAAATCCCCAAACCCCAGCAACTCATGCCTTTGCTACATGCCAGACACTACC